AGCTGTGAGGTTAGCTAACACTTCTCTCAATGGGATCTTGGGGGGGATCGGCGACGAAGCGACTTAGGGCCTTATCCCAACATTTCTAATAGGGCTTGCTCGTGTTCGAGTTACTGCATCTGCCACTATTCTCAGGGATTATAGCATTGTATCTAGCGTTCATTCTGGAGTCTTGAATTCAAATTATATTGGTGATAACTTGTCAGCTCTGAGAGTATTGTCTTGTTCATCCTAGGTAACAACAATTGTTTAAACAATTTGCTAGTCGAATCGAGTATATATATAAGGACTTGCAGGTTATTAATCCTATCGCTACATTCCTATCTTCTTCCGGGATAAAGATCAGCTTCTAAGTCCTCCATTAAAACGAGACTTTATCTGTTATCATTGTATGAATAAGAATAATAGCCATTTAATTTTAGTCTTGGCGACATCATCAAAAAGCATCATCTTAAGAAGTATTTCCTGGAATGAATATGGTTCAAGTTTTCCCTGATTTTAGTTTTCTTGTTGACACCTGCAGGTCTTCCTCAAACAGAGGGATATTATCCTCATTTATCTCTCAGTCCTGTATTGAACACATCTCTTTTTATGAGTATTCCACTTCCCTACATTTCTGGTCCCATGTATCTGCATCTATCTGCTTTACTTGAAAATTCGTTACTTAAAATCTTTTGCCTGATGCATTCTACAACATTCTCTTCGTTGTTCCTAATTTTCATCAATAAACTGCTTTCCCATATCTGATACGTTATCTGTGCCGAACTATAATTACGACTTCTAAATGCCTCATTACAGTTTCCAAGCTTCTTCGTTTATTTAGTAAGTTATATCTCAGTTATCCTTAGTTTAAGAAAAGCGTAAAAATCTTCGACTTTTAGTCTATTAATAAATCATCCTTTGATTGTTCGCATCGATTGTTCTTTCCCCAATGGTGTTTATTTGATCAAGATAAGTTGATAATCACTGAGTGTTGGTTCTTTCAGTACTTTTCATTTTCTGACAATTACAAGCTTAGGAATGTAATATCGATAATAGGTCCAGTTGTACCTTTTCTGAAAGTGTATGTGTGTCTCTAATTGGTCATTTTCAGTTGAGCAGAAGTCATGATTTCTGTTACTACTACAATTCTTGGATCCTTCACTCCTTCCCCATATTTAGTATTGAAGTCTCTTCCAACTATTATGAGTCCTGTATGCCTAACACATTCCTTTAACTTGGTCATACGTTCCAGAAAATAGTCAAAAGGAATGACTGGCGAGAAGTAGCAGGAAACAATAAACATTACGTTTATCTTTTCAGCCATATAATGACTTGTAAAATTCTCAGCTTCTGGTCACTACTATTATGACTGCCAGCGCACTCAGATCGTCTACCTATAAGTCTTCTTTTTCAAGCCCATAAGTCCACTTATTATAAAAATTTGGGATTTTTTTCAACCATTGCTTGAAATATCAGATCTTGAACTTATTTCTTTCTACTTAAGTTTATCTTTTAGCAAAAATAATGAACCCGTATGTTTTTAAAAATTATTCTCTTTCTCTTTCTCTCTTTCTTTCTCCTATTTTGTCAACGCGTCAGAGTCACCGTCTGTGCCGTGGTTCTGGCACTTTCTTTATTTCTTGGCTTGGTAATTTCTTATTTTCTTCTAGCCAGGTCTCAGTTTCTATTAGTTATTTCCTAATCCTTTTTATCACTTGGATCCTCCAATTTAACGCATTTAAGATGTAATCCTGTTACTGTTATTTTCTTTCTATGAGACCTCAATTGAGTGAGATTCCTTTTCTATTTTGAGATTTTACTTGCTGTGGCATTCTATTATTTCGTTTTCTCTTCCTCCTTTCTTTCTTCATTTGTTTTCTTTCAGACTGTCTTTTAGACCCACTTTCTTGAGTTGCATGGTATTTCCTGTTGTTGCTGTGTCACTTCCTGAACCTAGTCGCTCTATATTGTCCATAATCACTTGTAATACCAGTATTTCGTCACATGCTTGTTGTGTCTTTACATGATAGATGATTAATCCAACCTTTATATACATACATACATACATATATATAAATGTATATATATATATATATATATGAATATGTTCTCTCTTCATTTACAAACAAATGAGATAGGAGATATAATAATAAATATATTTACAATGTAAATATATAATTAAAGAACATGTAAAGGAAGTAATGTGAGTTTTGTGATATATTATTCAGCCATCGATTGTCGTAAATGGACTTCATCAAAGTCAATACGATATCTATTTGAATTTTCCTATAAGAAAATTAGGTTATTGTTAAGTTTAAAACGTTGAGTTTATTTGCGATCGAGATTTAGCAAAAATCTGTTTTCCCGCTTCTAGAAAAAAGTTTTGAAATAGTTTGTTTTATTTAACTATTGTTCTTACGTTTAAATAAGATCTTAAATACCTCATTTGTATATATTTTTTTCTAATATAAGGATTTTTAAAACTTTCGAGTAGCTTTTGATTCGTGTTTTTATCTAATTATTTACAATGAGCGAATGAAAGAAAGAAATGATATTCAAGGACTAAACATCAGTGCGGAGAGGTCAGAGTAGTAGAGTACAGAGTAAAGATCAGAGTAGTACAAAGTAGAGATCAGAGTCTTACAAATTAATGCTGAAAGAACTGAGTATAACAGAGTAAAGGAAAGAGTACAAGAGAGCAGAAAAAACAGAAAAACTGATTGTTGATTATTGAGTGTCGAGTGAATGTATAAACGAGAGAAAGTTTGTATATCTCGAGAGACAATCGAGAAACTGTTTATATCTTTGTTTTAATAAAAACATTTGTTCTTTTCTAAATAATGTGACTTAAACCCACCATTCCTACATTTATTCCTATATATAATATATGTTATATAATCTTATTACGAGATTCGGCTTTTCTAAATATAAAAACGGGACAACGAATAAGTTCAGACTTGCAAACTGTTATCTATAATAAATCGTTATTTTTATAAAAAGTTTTTTAGTTTATATTATGCGAATAAATATTCATCCTACACGGACGCAATGGGTAATATTGGTCGAGAAGTGTGATGTCTAGTAAGTCAAGGGAAACCTGAATCCGGTGATGGAGCAGAAGTACGGAGCAAGCAACAATCAAAATGCTGTAAAAAGTTATCCTAATTATAATTGACCTATACAAATGAATGAAACCGAGGAGCTACAAATGCAAACTGCCTCGTGACACTGTTCACTTTCGTGCCTGAATATGTGAGCGCTATCACCGAATAGAATAAGGTAAATTTTCATTACAAGATTATGTATATCCACCAGAGATTTTGCTTTATATTACGCGAATTAAAACAATGCTGATGCATTTTATCGTTTCTTAATTCAAGGATGGGATGCGGTATTAAATGATAAAATTAAAATTGATTAATATATTTATTATTTTGTTTAATTCGTCATTTTGCAAATCAATATTTATTATTCGTGGTTAAGTGAAATCATGAAGTTGGCTACATTCTTAATATTGGACATTAAATTTTGTCAAAGTTATACCATTTAGAGTGCTTGCAAATATGTAATTTATTTTAGCTTCAATTAAAGCAAAAAATCATTTAATATTTTCGTTTTGATTAGGAATGCAATCTATTGTTACTGACATACAGAACACAATACATCATCACCGTATAATACGTGAATGTCTGTTCGTGTCAGATAAAATGTACATGATAAATTTATATTTTATAAAATTTTGGTGACTTGCAATTCTCCCAGACATTTCCAAAAACATTGAGACGTCTGGTAACACCATATCTTATAAATAGCAAAATTATATTAATATATATAAAAATAATGAAACTAAATGTTCTGTAAATATGAAAGTATATAATTCTATTAATATTATTTTTATTAGTTTTCCATAATTAGTTCACCATTAATTGCCATTGCAATTTAAATATTTTCTAATATCGTAACATGATTGTTGTTAACAAAGTGTATTTTTAATTTTTCTTCAGTTATCTGAAAATAACGGTATTTTATAGTAAATTAATATTATATTCATTATTTATACGAATTTTACAACTTACAATCTGTACTCCATATGAGATATGTTAGATGATAACAACAAAAATTTGATTGGTATTCTTACATATGATATTGTTTCTGAATTATATTTCATGCATGTTTGCAATCTCCTATAATATGAGGAAATAGTATTTCTTTGATCTCGTTCTAAATATAATTGCATTCAAGTAACAATACATTAAAAAATGCATTTACTTTCTCATCCCACGATTTTCCCAATTCAAGTACAATCAGGAAAGTTACGTTGGAAATTCATTTGAAAATAGAGAGAAATAGAAAAAGAAAAAAAGGACGAATCTGTTCACGATTAACAGATATAAATATCTCCGTCATGATCACAAGAGTATTGTTTTGCAACTCTTCCTCCAATGACGATTGTATCTGTTGGTTTATAAGTTCCTTCATTATCTGAGAAGCACCGTCTATCAAAATTAACTGCTCATTAAACTCTTTGGTTTCTAATCGTCGTGTGAGTTCAATTGTTATAAGCGATACGTATGAGTATCCCTCTAGTATATATTGTAATATGTAAAGTTAAATACTATTTTAATACAACAGGTTCAATAATATTTAATTTAATCAAATGTTTCTTTAGTAAAAGAATATACTGGTAGAAATAAATGGACCATTTCTTCTATAGTTTTTAATCCATAATTCGTCCCGAGTAGGAAATAAGTCGTAGGCGACTTAATTTTCGGTTCTAATATTTTGAAAATGCTACCATAGCCTTTGATACCTGAAATGTTAAATACCTCACTTCAACCTTCCTCTGTACTAATTTTAGGAGGGATAATTATTTAGGAAGATAGTTTTTCACCCAACAAATACATCAACGTCTTTATACCAAGTAATATTTCGTTTTTAGCAGTTTTATTATGATTACTATTATTTTTTTACCCATTTCCATGAGTTTGCCGAAGTTAAAGCATTTAATTTCTTCCGCCGCGAGATATATTTCATATTTACGCTCTAATGTTTGTTTTATTTCCACATCCATCATAGAATCTATTCCAAGTTCTGCCAAGGAAGTTTGTTGATTGATACTCTTCAAGTTTAATATCTATAAGCAAAAATTCTTTGTTTAAATAAGATAAAGATAAAAAAAAGCTAGCGAAAACAAAATAAAATTATAAAATTCAGCAATAATCATGGATAAATCCAAACTTACACATAATTTTTAAGACAGCATTTACGACATTGTCCGCACGATCGCCATCTAATCGTTTATCAGCGACTATCATACTAGCAACTATAGGTTTATCCTGTAGCAAAAATCGATTCATTTCTTCTAAACATGATATTATTTTTTGCTGTAAAGTACCGCCAATAACAAGTTCTTTATCATTATCCTGCATATCCGCGACAAGACCGACGTCTCCAATCGCTCCCCATTGAATAGCTAATCCAGGCAAACCTTCTTCTACCCTTTTTTCGCATATTCTTTCCATAATGGAATTAGCCATACCATAATTCGTTTGGCCAGCATTTCCTCTTCCGCACGAGACGGAAGAGAAGACTACGAAATGCCGAAGATCTGAACAAAGCGTTCTAGTAACTTCGTCCAAACATTTCGTTGCCCAGGCCTTTCCCTTGAAACATTCTTCAAAAGTTTTCATCGTTTGGTTACGACAAATACGATCTTTCAAAGAAACCGCGAGGTTAAATATACCGAGGTTAAATATACACGGGACCTTCATCTATTGCTGATTTTACTATAAACTCGCAGTCTTCTCATTTAGCCGCATCGGGATCGACAAGGATCTTAATATTCACGCCGTATGGTTCCAATCTTTTGGTTCTCATTGATAACCATTTTATAACCCGTTTCTCAAAGTAATGACAATATTTTTAGCATTTCGAAGAACTAATCAATCGATTAATTCTAAATTAAAAACACTCAAGGTGCCAATAATTAAATAACTTTTGTTCGGGAAACATGTATAATAAGGTTCAGCCAAGATCGGTGTATTCAGTTGTTCATTTTCTTCGCGTATCTTTATTAGTACCTACGAAATTCAAGATGGATTTCGAGTTATAATTTAAGATACTACAAATAATTGAATATTAAAACAACGATCACAACTTACTTTTCCAATATGTTTACATGCAGCCGTGAATCTAAAAGCTTTCTCTATTTGATCTCTGCCGAAAATGGTTCTTACAATAGGTTTGATTGCATTTTCTTTAAGGAGTTTGTTTACTCTTGAACTTATTTCATTTCTGATTCCGTCCTTGGTAACTATAATTTGATCTAACATTACAGCATGAAAACTGATCTCCTTCAAAAAGACATTGATGCGGCTTATCTGCGGCTAAGTCAAACTTTCCATTTTCTAAAAATCTCCTTTCATGAGCTAAACAACGCAGAGATGCTAGAAGTTTTTCTTCTGCTAAAGAATTTAGAACTATATCTACACCTCAACCGTCGGTTTCTTGCAAAATCATTTGTTCGAAGCTAGTATCTCGAGAATTTCCAATATGATTATCGTAGATATTGGGAAATGTTTCTTTAATGAATTTATGTTTTTCTGATGTACTAACTGTAGTGAATACTTCACAGCCTTCATGAAGAGCTAAGGTAAACACCAGTTTGGCCAACACCACCAGCACTAGAGTGGATAAGTATTCTATCACCCTTTTTCATTTCTCCGTTAATATAAAGTGCAGCAATACATGTGGAATATACGCATGGTACTGTCGCTGCATCTTCCAAATTCCAACTTTCAGGTACGGTCCAAGAAAAAATGTCGTCCATTTGGCAAAGATTTGATAAGCATCTGAAAAAATGTTGTTCATTTCATTTTCTGTTATTTTCTATATGCGATCTCATGATTTTTAATTAGCTCACTTGTTTTGATTAAGTCCCATAATACGTCGACCATCAATAGTGATTCCGCTATATTCTAATCCAAGTACGCAGTCAACATATCTTCTTTCCTGTTGAAATTTATCTAATCCTATTTTACCTGTTGCCAACATTACGTCTTTAAAGTTTAACGATGCATAATGGATGCGAACAAGATCTGCCTTTTGATAGTCCTTCGTAATTGGTCCTTCGAGCCAACATAAAACTTAAATCTCCGCGTGACTGTAAAAAAGTATTATTTCATGATATTCGATGAAAATTTGATGAAATGTCCTTACATACCAACTGATTAACGAAGGCATGATGCATAAGCTTTGGTTCACAGGATGGAAGTAGCTGATGCCTATATGATCCCCATACGTTTCCTGGTCGTAAAACATTGATGAAAAGATCGATTTCGAATTGTTACGAATAAAGGAGCAATTCTAAAGAAAATTTCGGGGCTGTAAGATCCTGGACTAAAACAGCTCGAAAGATTTTGCCTCCAGATTCTTTCTGTAAGCAATTAATGAATCCTAACAGACAAGATTCAAAGTTTCCTTCCTCAACAAGTATCACTCTCGTGTTATCTTCTTGTGTTTCATTGGCAAGCACATTTTCTACTTCATTCAACCAGTTAAATTCATTGCTCCTAACATTAATACATAGAATATTTTTCGAAATTTTCTTGATCTTCTTTAACAATATCCACGATTCCTCGAAAGCACGTTTCTCCAAAACTATACCTAATCGAAATTCCTTTAGAATAGAATAGTCCAATGGTATATTTTCCTTTACGCACGATAAAAGGAAAGCCCCATCTTTTGTAGATTTTAAAAGTTATTTTAAACTTTCCTTTTTTTCATTGGTTAATAAACAACATGCAACTGTTAATATCGCTACATCATCTGTTCGTAATTTTGTTGATTTTGAAATTTCAACATATTTAAGAATGTCTTCTTCGCTAAATTTCTTTGGTGGTGCAAATAAATTAATGCTTGCTTGAATCGAAGGTAAATTGGCGAGAATGTCTCTGAACAATGGAGAAACAAATTTTTCCGCAGATATATTGTCATTATCCTCAACGAGTTCTATTGTTTTCACTTTCTTCATTGGTATATTCTCAAGAGTAATATGCATACATAACGTTAATATTTCGCGTAATGACATTTCCCTTCTGTCACGATAAGCAATGAATTTATGTTCTTCGATAATTGGATCACTGACAGGTTTCTTCCGAACAATCTTACTGGCCCTAATATTATGAATTTCCACACCCTCTGTTACAATCACATCAATATCCTCAAATAATTGTACAGGTACATCTGAAATAATATTATTGAATATAAAGGAATTTGCTATATAGATTCACTTTGAATTAAAAGAAAATATTTAACATTTTTTATTGGTTGTCAAACTTTGCAGATATCGTTGATGAGCTCTAGTATCTATTATCAATTTTCGAATACCAGTCGGTACGAATAAACCTCGGGTATCTAAAATGAGTATTTTCATCTGCAATATGTTATCCAGGAATGCTACCCAATTTCTTTTCCACTCGATATGTCCTTTTTTTCCTGAAACTGAGGCACTGTTTAAACTTCGAAAGAGGCCGCTATATTGGTAACCACGCAGTTTCAGCTCTTTATAAATATCTTTCTCATCTAATTCTTCCTTCTCATTGCCAATATTTGATTTGATCAAATCAAGGGGTATTTTCTCTTGTAACAAGTTTGTTGCAACACGTATCACTCCAGTAACAATAGCAAGACCTCCTTCGGCCACTTCGAAATTACCACTGCCTGTTCATTCAAAGAACGACATATGTTAACTTCTTTAAAACAATATGTAGATTCTAGTTGTGGAGAGTGGATACCTTTTTGAATCATGACTATCATTTCAATTTTGCCTTTTTTCGGAATGGAGGTAGCTCGATTAAACTTTATATTTTCATTGACAACAAATAATTCCGTGTACAATTGTCCTATTATCATGCCGAAAGTTTGCCAAACTAAACACAAATATCCTGTCGCTGGAAACAAATTTCTGCCATCGACCACGTGACCAATAACGTACTGAAATTCTACATAATCGATCGATATTTCAAATATTCGTTCACCAGAATCAATTCTCTCTTGTTTATTGTAATCTGTCACAAACCAGTCGTCTGAATGTTTCCATCTAAACATATAATAACGTTGAATTTTTATGTTACATTCAGAAGAAATAATTATTAGCCTTTTTCGTTCTCTATATCCTCGTAATTCTTACTTAATAAGTGGGGATATCATTGGAGTACCTCGACTGACCGGATATTCTACGTGTGGATATAATTTAGTAAGATCTAGCTGTATACCGCTGTTATAAATCTTCCCTAATGCTTGCAGAAAAATGATCACGTTATTTTTATCATTTAGATGATTTAATGCAATATTCCTGACGGTTGGTTGCAATGATTTTCTTAAAGTCGCTTGTAGTAGATTTTGCGATCCAATTTCAATCGTGACAACATTGTTCGGAATCAGAGCTAATGATTCTGCAAAGAGTACAGGTTTCAACAGGTTATTGGTGTGATACTCAGCTGACGAGAGTTTTGCGGCTGATGTCGACCACGCGTTTCGTGGCACCGATGTACTGAGCCATTTTTCACTTCGTGCCATCGCTACTGGTATCACTTTTTTTAAATATACAAAAAGTTTCGATCCAACTGCGGCCATATATCGGCTATGATAAGGTATATTATTGCACGCTACCTCTTCCACGATAACTTCAGTTGCCTTCCAAATACAAACACATTCAAAAAAATCAATTTAATAGTAAGGAATATTTTTATTGGCTAGATCCTGATTATCTTCAAACGAACCTGTAATTTTTTAACGAATTTCTTCACATAATCGGTCGGTCCGCTAACAGTTGTACTTTCGGTTCCATTGTGACATGCGATGTCGATATCAACAGGACAGCAATTTTTCAGATCTTCATAGGAAAGCCCTACCGTTGCCATAGAACCATGAGGTATTTCTGTTTCTATCAAAGCCATTCCTCGCGAATATGCTGCTAATATCATTTCCTCTGCTGTAAAACATCCATCTGCGTAAGCACAACCAAGTTCACCAACGGAATATCCGATGACGTAGTCCGGTACTACACCTACGGAAGTTAGAAGACCTACCAAGCCGATCTGTAAAGATTTTTTCATTTTGTTAGATCTTATCGAATGTATGCACTTCTCCCAAATAAATAAATAATTGTCGATATTACCTGAACTGCAGCAATTCCGACGATCGAATGCAAGATATTGTCGAACATGCTATTATCTTTTTCAGTTAAAATTTTATAAATATTCAATTTATACTGCTTTAATACAGCGTCGCATTTCTCTATAGCTTTAGCAAATATAGGGAATCTCATTAGACTTTGACCTGTAAATTACAAATTCTACTTCCAGTACATTTGATCGAAATGGTTATTATTTTTATAGTTACGAAGAAATAATAGTACAAAAATATTCGTACCTGTAACAGACCAGAGCGATCCCATTCCAGAAAAAACAAACAATATTAGTTTTTTGATACCAGAATAATTTTTAATTTCTCTCAATTTTTCGTCAGACGATTTAGAACTAGTTATCGTGTATCCTCGACATAAATGACTTGTTGTATCTTTGAGATGAATATCATGAAGGAGACGAATAAATTCGACATCTATCGGTCGATTATCGATCTACGTAATAGGATGTTGAAATTGTATTGATCTATTTTACTGTAGAATAAACAAGTATAACATCTTTATGTTTTCTATTTAAAAGAACATTTCACCTACATCATTTAATATGGTTACAACTGCTTCTTCGGTACGTCCAGAAAGAGTTACGAGTCTTGGCAAATCGTCATCTGGCAATCCTTTATTGACCTTTGTTTTTTGATTTGATTTAAGTAAGACGTGAGCATTAGCACCACCAAAGCCGAAAGAGTTAATGCCTATGTATTCCCCATCAAGTGGAGACGTTTCGGTAACAGCCATGATTCTCCCTTCTGTAAAAGCTTCCACGTCTTTGCGTAGTTGATTAAGATTGATATTTGGTGTTATTAGGCCTGACTCCATCGATATTGTCGCCTGTAATATATCAAAGAAACGAAGATGAACGAATAATTGTCTCATCTTATACTTCAAAATATGTTTACCTTAGCAATGGAGCACATTCCACTGGCTGGTTCGGTATGACCCAAATTTGATTTGATGGAACCGACTTTAAGAGGATCGTTTCTGTTCTTTGTGAAAATCTGATTTATAGTATTAATTTCTTCAGGATCACCAACTTTAGTTCCTGTACCATGAGTTTCGATGTAATTTATACAAGCTGTTGGTACACCGCATTCATCGTAGAATTCTTTGAAAAGAGTACTCTGAATTTGGCTAGAAGGAAATGTTATTCCCTGTTCCTTATAACCATCGCAATTAGTTTTCGCATGGATAACTGTTGCATAGATTCTTTTAGCATTTTTTCCTTTTTGCAGAAATGTAACAATTACGGCTTCGCTGCGCACGTAACCAACTGCATCTTCGTCGAAACACTTGCAACGAACATCCTCAGACAATATTCCTATTAGAGAGATACAAGATAGAATAATTGTTTAATACTCTCATGATAATTCGAGAAAAAAGGACAAATGCTTCAAGAAAATATCATAATCAATATCTAAACGTTTAAATTGCAAAGTTAGGAATGGATGAAGGCAAAGATTTGATCCAGCGACGATCGCGTAATCGCATTGTCCGTTATGTATAGCTCTATATGCGTGTTCCATTGCAAATAGACTTGAGCTGCACATGGTATCAATGTTGTATGTTGGTCCAGTGACGTCCAACCAATTCGAAATTCTGTTGGCCATAAAAGCTTTGCTACAGCTTATGATACCAAAGCCATTTATCTACAATTGAAAAGACGTATCATACGACTTATCCGACTATATAAGTAATTGTACATAATTAATGCGTCTATAAACTGATCGTTTGATCGATTCCCCTACCTGGAGTTTGTCGTAGAACCAAGTTTTCTCTGTATCGGAGAAGCAAGAACCTAAGAATACACCTGTCCTCGTTCCACGAAGATCTTTTGGATGAATTCCAGCATCCACAATAGCTTCATAAGTATGTTCGAACAATATTCTGCCCATAGGATCCATAGTATGTGCTTCTTTAAAATCGACGTCAAAAAATAATGCATCGAATTTCTCAATATAGTTAATTTTCCCCGTTCGTCGTGGAATTTCTGAATGCTCTAATAAAAGATAAAGATAGAAAAATATTAACATTGTTTAATGGTTACGTTGTTAAATAAAATAGATTATATACGTATAATCGATACCTGTATTTATTCCGTTATCTGTGATACAATCTTTGCGATTAAAAATATTATCTTTCAATTCATACAAATTGTTGGACTTTGGAAATCTACCAGCGATTCCGGAAATAACAACTTCTTCGCCTGGTTCTAGATATATTTGAAAATTTGTATTGAAATTTCGTTAGTGCATATTTGAAAAATTTGTACGATTCCTCTTGTTCCTTAAACTCATTCATGACGTTATGATATTTTACATTCGTTTGTTTGAAATAGAAATTGGACACGAACTGAAATTGTTAACGAAGAATTCTTCTTTTTAATAATTCTTTCCGTCTCCATGAAATTCGTTATATCACGTCACGTATTATAAGTTCTTGTATCCTTCCGTTCTACTTATTCAAATGAAGATATATTTTTAACGGACCTTAATGAATTTATTTGTTCCTTTTATACTAATTAGGTACGTCATGGTCAATGAAACAGCACTGCTCAATAACGAAACAATAAAGTTTCGTCGTAATACCCAAAATAGTTATAATAAAAATTCTTAAATTTATAGCTCCCATTTATTAATAATTGCATACATCTGATGTTTACAATGAATGTTATTATTGTATTAATAGCGACTTCCATTAAAATATAAAATTAAGTACATCTTATTAACGTATAGTGTCAATATTATATTTTATATACAAACATACATTTATGTAATATATATATACACATATATTCACGAACAGATACACAAAATATGTATATACCTACGCGTACGCTTACATATATACGCACACAAAACTATATCTTTATCCCAATGTCTTTACTTTTCATATCTAATATTTAACAAAATAGTACAAGCATATGTTATACTTTGTTTACCTTGAATTCCTTTAATAAATTTCGTTAGTGCATTATAGCGAACCTTATAAAACCGTGTTTTGTAATATATACTTATAAGCATATACGAAATAAAATAGTTAAAGTCAAATCAGTATTATATATCGAATTCTTTAATTCAAAAATTTTACCTTCTCCGTAAATTTTCTTGTTACGTAAAATTTAACATGGCTTATAACGATAAGGAGAACAAAAGTAAAAAGAACAAATGAACCCAAATGGTGGTTTATTTTGATGCTCAAATAATAAGTAATTAATGATGCAAATATAATTTAAATAAATATTTTGTATGTAACATTGAGATATATGCATAATGAAAAAAAAGTAGTATGATTGACAAAGAAACGAGTGACGCATAATTTAAAATTATTCACTTCCTTCTGTTCAAAGCATGTGTAAATTGAGCGACAGGTATGGACAAAATATGAATAACTAATCAAGCGTGGAACACTGCTGCGCCGTGCTATCGTATCAATGTATAAGCTTGTTTTGTTATTTCCTTTTCACGCGTATGTAACAATCAGTTTCATGTGAGTTAGAGTAAGTTATATAAGTTAGAGTAAGTAGTGTTAGTAGACTATAAACGCACACTTTTCGGTCTCTCATTTGTATATCTTTCGTCAATGGTAGTGTGCGTCTTGCAAAGATCAGTGCTAGATATGATGTCGGTACTCATTTGGTTTACGATAATTGCGTAGAAAATAATAGATATAATTGATACATATAAGTATTAGTATATAAATCTGCGACAAAAATAAGAATTTAAAATCCATATCCAATATTTTCTTAAAAACAATTAGTGAATACTTATGTATTATATTAATTATAATAAACGCGTAACAATCATAAAGTAATAAGACAAAAAAAAACTATAGCGGACGAAACAAAAGAAACGTTTCTTACATTTCTTCGAATGTTGTTTTTATTAGATGGGTGGTTATGTGTAAAAATAATCAAGGACACGATTTGTTGAAAATTCACCCTTCAAACCAGCACATAAAATAATACATTTTCCTTCTTTTATTATCATAAATTACCGTCATCATATGTATCACGTTATATACATTATAAGTATATTCTTCTGTTTCTTCTTCTTTTTACTGTTTCTGTAATTATATTACTACATTACATATTATAATCATGATAATAATAGTAGCAATAATAATAATATGAAATGGAATACTACAAAGGAAACGATATCAAAATAGCGCTGGGAGAAAAATTTCGTAGATAGTGCAGAAACAAACTCATATTTTGATCTATATTAAGAATAATATGTAATATATTTATATATTCACTAATTATTCATTTAAAAAAAATAATCGATAAATGTATATACTTCATAAGCATTTGTCATCGAAAAAATTATACTGCTGCTGTATGCTATCTAGCACAGATCACCGCGAAATTCACGCCTGTCATCAGTGGAGGAAATAAATATAAAAGATTGGATACTAACATCTTACAAAATTATCAAATAAAGAAAGAGAGTAAATTAGTTCATTATCTTCTTTTACATTGATTCAATAAAAAAAACTATACAGTAATAAAAACTATATTAGCCGCGAATTTAAAATTCCTGAATTACCAATATACCATACGTTTCTTATAGAATTTCTCTTTTGTAGTCTTTAAAATCTAAAAGAAACCACGAATTTTTCCACAATTACGCAGTATTCTAAAAATTCAGATCCATTGACATAAACGATTGAACATGTATTTCTTTAGTTTTGCCAAAAAATCATCTGGCCAAAGCTCATTAAATAGATTGAGTGAGTTATCGTAGCTTCTCCGTGTTTCTCCGGGCAAGCAATGCTTTTCTTTGCGTTTAGAAATGTTCGAAAAATCTGAGCATCAGCTATTTATTCACAAAAACAAGCAGGCAATCAGTACTTCAAGAAGAGCATCAAAGTACTGCATTATTTCTTCGCGAAAAATGTTGAATACGAAATCTACATCATCTGTGAGAAAAGACGTTGTTCCGGCGAAGTTTTTAAAAATCTATTTATTTGTGCATAATCTATTCTCGAGAGAATACTATTTTTTAACATGATTTTTGATTGAGAGAAAGAGAGAGAAAGAGACAGAGAGACAGAACAGAGAGAAACAAAGTGGGCGACAGACAGAAAGGGAAAGAGTGCTGCGAGCAATGGCGATTAAAATATATCTATGTAACGAGAAGCGAGGTGTGTGCAAAAAAGGCCATAAGAAAACAAAAGATTTGTAATCCGCCTGTAAATTATCCTCCAAAGGTAGCAGTTGTTATGTAACGGATTCAGATTTAGGGCAAAATATGAGCTCGTCGTCGAATATAGTTAATAACTCGGGAATTAGTATATCGAAATATATGCTTTATTATGTTGCCATTAATCAGTAAATGATAATTGAAGAAGAGGATTTTTGTGAAAGGTTAGGCCGAAGATTAAAATGTATCTGCCGATCTGAACAATAGTTTTCATTAGAAGCATTATTCTGGATAGAGGTTATTCATCCACTCGAATTCTCTTATCGTGCTTATTTTTTCTTTATGTCACGCTTAAGGTTCACTTTTTATTTACACATTCATTGAGTTACTTAATTCTTTCACATACCTTAAGATAGTAATAATAAAATGTAGTGCACTAGTACATAACACGTCCAAACTCGCAAAATCTTTCGTAACGAATGTATTTATTCAAGTATCTTCATTCTAACGATGATATTTTTGTAAAATAATAGCGGATGTATGTATGTATGTAATGTAAGTATATATTACAATATGTCCTGTATGTATGGGTGTTCGCATGTACATAAATGTGCATGTATATAAATATTTAATTTTTTTTTTTAATTTAATATATTTTACTATTTCATTTTTTTATACCTATTCTTATTTCTTCTAGGATAATAAGTCAATTTCTCTTCTAATTGGGCATATTGTTATAAAATAACAATCGCTATTTTTTTTGTTCTTTATATGGATTTTGCACATTTCGTTTATTTCTTTTGTGAATACAAAATTTTGATATTTAAGGCTGTTCATTACTTTTGGTTTTTTAATGGATTACGTCATGAATGAGAATAGGCGTAATTTTTAGCCGATTTCAACGAACAACATCTCAGTTTATGGACGAAAGTTTAATTTACGGCGCCCTTCAGCCAGGTTTTTGAAAAAGCTTTATTTAAAAAAAAAGTAATATTAAAAAATGATATTTATTCAAGAATAATTTATGCAAAAATAAAAAGTTTTTTCCAAACTCCACCAAAAGGGGGCTGTAGACTAAACCTTCTTCTTTTAAATGAGATCTTGTTCATTAAAATGGATCGAAAATTATTTCTATTAATTACGATAAAGGACAGCGTTCGCCATTTGATTCGTTATACACATATCGTCCATACCTATCATTAAAATCACAAGTAATTTGAACAGATAGTAGTGAACAGTCATAAGCTTTTTTTTTATATATATATATATATATATATATATATATATATCATACATTTACCATTTCTATATTCAATTCACTCACACACTTATTACTCTGTCTTTTTTACAAACCATTCACTACTATTTCTGTATCATTTTAAATTATTTCACTATTCTTATTCAATCATACGTTACCTTACTATTTATTTTACTTACTCATACACTAATTCAATAATTCTCTGTTTCAATGAAACACTCATCATTTCTCCATTTTACTCTCTTTAGTCATTTACTCACTCACTTATTATTTGTCTTTCTTAGTGAAGAACCCACAATTTCTTCACTTTTTTCATTCACATACTCATTCCTTACTTCTTCATTTTACTAACACACACATTCACTCATTCCTATTTCTCTACTTTTACAATTACAGAAATAAAGAAAGAGAGAGGGAGAGAGAGAGAGAGACAGAGAGAGTAAGAGAGATAAAGGGAGAAAGATTTAAGAAAAGAAGCGTACTACAGATACGTCTATTCTACGTCGGATCATACGAAGTATAATGTCTTTGAAATTCATGGAAATAACGTTATTGAAAAAAGATCGTTCAAGTTTAGAACATTAGAACATTTAATATTTTCAGTTCACGTGTGTATGTATTTATATTTAACGTATCATCGTCCTATTGCGTACAAATTAATTTTTATTTTCTTTGATTCAAATGAATACTTATTATTACTACTACTTTTACTACTAGTGTTACTTTACTACTAGTGTTAGTCTTATTATTAGTACTAGTACTGAAAAAATTTTTCAAATTTTTTATTATTGTTATAATAGTTATAGTTGAAAAATAGACTTGCGAGAATACGTATACATTTTTTAATCTTACTAAGTCAAAAATTTATATGAAATAAATGAATTTAGATAATAATTTGTCCTAATGGATTATTATTAATCATAGTTTAGAAATTTTTTGAATGAGACTGTATGTGTAATAAAATCATTTATATATATATATATATATATATATATATATAAGTATATGTATATATATATATATTCTATATGTATATATATATATAAGTATCATATTATATATGTATATATATATAAGTATATGTATATATATATATATATATAAGTATATGTATATATATATATATAAGTATATGTATATATATATATATATATATGTAATAAAATCATTTATATATATATATATATATATATTCAAAATGATTTAGACTTATTTAAATATAAGTAGTAATTGTTACATCTAATTCATTTTTATTAATGAAGTAAATATTAATGTGTAATATAAAAATGAACTTAGGTATGTATGTACGTACGTATGTATTTATAGTATATATTATATATTTATATCTTTTTTGTTTTTAAATGATTCATTTTATACTTCATCGAATTGTTATTTGGAACGATTTATATTTGTACTTAAACAATAATATAATAAATGTATTATCATCAATTTTTTATTTAACCAAGGTAACTATGCTCTTACTATTTTATTTATAAAAATTTGAAATACATATATACACACACTCACAATACGCACACAGGATTCATAAAAATTAAAATATGGTTGAATATTAAAAATTTTTTAATGGATTATTAAATACGTATAAAGAAAAAATTTTAAATGAAAAACTAATCTCTCGTGCATTAATATCGAAAATATTACAAAATTTAAGCACACAAACACATATGTACATGTATTATAAAAATGGTACGAGATACTTAGCGAGAGTTTATTAGAAATAAGAAAAAAAAAGGAAAGATTTCTTTTTTAGAAAATTCGTTTAAAAAAAAAAAAAGAGAAAAAAGAAAAAAGAAAGGAGAAAAGAATTAATCATTATGAGTTAAAAAGTAAAACAGCAAGCGAGACTTAGCATTTGTGTAGTAGTATATAATGCATATATATAACATTGTTACGTCGTAGGGTGCAACTACGAGAGTGTTTTCAGATACGCGTATTGCACCGGATCAGCAATGATAGTCGATTTGCACAGAAAATTTCCCCTATCTTTTACTTGTCGTCAGAGCTATAGACCGCGATGAAAAAGAGCAGCGGTACTAGGCTAGGATATCTTTGAAGGCTGTCAGCAAAATACCGCTTGCCGCGGTATTCCTACAGATTAATGGGAGAATGTGCATTCTTCTAAAGGATCCTGTAAAACTCGCGAGGTAAATGCATGATAATAAATATTGCGCCAATTGAAGCTATCATAGTATATTTGTTGAAATAATATACAATCGTTGATACTCTTGTAGGTTGATGTGTAGTTAGTTGTATTGTTGCGTCTTAGGTTGTGCTAGATACCTCCGATTAGAACATAGCAAATGATATTGGTAAGACTCGGCTATCTTATTGATAAGTAAGAATGCTTTGATGCGACTGCCTGCAGATTTCTCTCGAACTATCGATGAAGTCATTAAAGAATTAGGAAAGAATTAGGAGGAGTTTAAGTAAAAGATCCACGGAAAGGTAAAGCAATATCCTTATTTATTATGGGCATGTTAAGATAATTCGTTGGAATGTTTAAACAATTCCATGTGTGGCCCTTTGTTCAAGTGATAGTATAGACAAGAGGATGTCAATGGATATTTCATGTCTAGACGCCAGATAACCCTTGGTTCGTCGCGCCCAGTCATCCACTTTCATAATTTATTTATTGCCCGCCTCGACATATTATTGAAAACTCAGTACTTGACTAAAAATGCCTAAGCTTGGACAAAGGTGGCAATGTGTCTTTTATCTATGCGTTTTCTTAGCAAGTATCCAACGAGTTCTCAAGGACAGATATTTTTAATAGTGATATAAGGCTTTTAGGAGAAAGTACTGTGAACAGTTGAGGGACACGTCAACAAACATATATAGCATATATGTTTAATATATATATTCTTATAAGTGAACTACACAGTTTTAATGACACTCCGTCTTACATTTCGCATATGATTGATGCCCGTTTTGTACTCCTTTTCGATAAGGAACAATTATGGAGAATAGTTGGAGAGTGAGAGAGAGAGAGAAATTTTATTAGATTTTATAGACGACCCAACGTCGAATTCTTACATTCAAACTCACATTCATTGTGGTCGTTCAATTTACGGATATCACTCTTTAGAGACTAACTACGAATACCGTTTCTACGACTGACTATATTCTTTGTTGCAGACAGAGAACAGGGTGGAGAGAAAGAGGGTGGGAAAGAAAGAAAGAGAAGGATAGAGAAGGAGAAAGAATGAGACCAATACAACTTGTTACACAGTTTCGAATGTGTCTTGACTCCGTTAGCTGTATTTATATCTTTTTTCTCGGGAAAATAAATCCGTCATCATGATTCTCTTGTTCTGATGAAAATAAAACCAAAAAGAAAAAATAAATAAAATAATGAAGTAATTATGTAACTAGCAAAGTCAAAGTAAATTATGAATAATCCTTTCGGAAGAAAATCGAAATTCAGTAAAGAATAAAATAAAATGAATAAATAAATAAATAAGTAAGATAAAAGAAATAAAATAAAAAAAAAGATAAATAGAGACAAAAAATGATTGTACTTCTATAATAGTTTTGTAAAGTAATCCCGAAATGGAACGAAACTAGTAGCATCTTATGGCCGAATGAAAGAACACTTCCATACCTTCTTTAATTAACGATTAAACTATTTCCATCATAAATTGATCGACACGACCGAGTTAATTAATACTTCTTATTGACGTTTGTCTTCGACGCCACGACGCCACTCTTTTAATGAAGGTCGTCGTTCGATGACAATTCTAGCATTATTGTTACGAATTATATAAATACTATCGTATATAATACGAAACATATGTATTTACATATATATTATATATATATATGTATGTATATATGTATGTATGTATGTATATACAAGCAAATTTACGTAACTAATCATATCAATAAGGAAAGTTTACTAGAATTCGAGAACGTTTGTATTGATTTACTGGAAGACAAATAAATGACCTTAAAATATATATTATCTGTAAAGTCGATTAACAAGTACGCACAATATATCCACATATATATACTTATCGCACAACACATTTGCGTACGTACGTAAGTACTTGAGTACGTTGATCGAAATTGAAGAACATAGAAAATTGAAATGTTCGATAACACGGTTTATGCTGTAACGAAATACGTCGGCCATGTTGAAGAAAAAGATAGGTAAACAGATATGGAAAGGAAAGGAGAGGAATGGTGGCGGTGATGGTGAACAATGCGGGTCATATATGCGGGTCAACCGGAAACTTCATTGTAATTTCTGCTGATGTGAGATATCGTTCATTTTGCCGAAAGTATTAAACGTTGGTTTGCAATGAATGTGAATTAAACATAGCGGATTAACGAATTCAAAGAAAAAAAAAAATCAAATTGGACCTAAATGACAACAGAACGAATCTACGTCTGACATCGCCTGTGCGTACATTTTTTTATCAATTCTCCTTCTTTTTATTTTTCAGTCACCGATCGATAATTAATATTTTCTTTTTTATTATTTTCTTTTTTATATATATTTTCATATCGTAAAAGAAAAGTTAGTAAGCGCTTACTTGCTCACGTATATTTTTTTTCTCTTCTCGTATATCCCTGATTGATAAAATAATTTTATTTTTCTCTCTTTCTCATAGGGTTTATTTCTACACTTATTTTAAATACCTCATTATGCTAATTCAATTGTTTTCCTTTGAAACGAATCGTTGATTCCGCTGATACGATTAGAGAGCAAGATGGAAGTAGAAGAAAAGAAAAAAGAATAAAGAAAAGCCATGAAAGAAAGAGAAATAGAGAGAGTGAAAGGGAAAGATGGTGTGAGGGAAAGAGAGAGGAAAAGTGGGAGAAGGAGAAGGAGAATTTATATATGAAAATGCAGACACATTTACATAATATATATATATAGATACACTCATGATATATACATGTTTATATATATATATATATATATATAAATATATATATATATATAAATATATATATATATATATATATATATATATATATTTGTATTAAAAGATATTAAAAGATATTTATTGTAAATTGAATAAAACATAAATTTTATGTTAATTTGTGATAAGAATTAGCTTTAACTATTTTTTTTTCATAAAATGGACTTGATCTATTTTCAAAATCAACGGCTTATATATTCATTTTCCCATAAAGGCGTCTTGCCATCGTTCAAAATCGAATTAATATTCTGCGATGGAATGTTGCAATGGTGACCTACTTCTCGAAGAGTTATATTCCGGTATACGACATTCTCTCTCAATTCGTATAGTTGGTAAGATCGAGCACGCTCAATTTGGTAATCTAATTCAAAGAATGCTTACTTATTTGGCGAAGTCTAGAAACAAGCTGAGATTGCTTTAAAAACTTTGGAATCCATTAGAATCAAGTGGTTGAACTAGATAACACCAGCGAAAATCGATATTGGCGAAAAGTACATATTCAAGATTTCATCTACAAATGATATCTATATTAATATTTAGCTAGCAATTAATATTTCTAAAGTATGATAATTGTGATAACAAAAATTATGATAAAAAGGAAAAAAAAATTTAATTTTATATGCCAACAGATTAAAGGGAGCATTTTTGAATGATTGCAGTAAAGTTATCAAGGACGCTAAACAATGGGCACAAGAGGTAGTAGTTAATGATAACAATAGATTGATAAATAGATATCATATATTAATTATAATAAAATTAATTACATATGTACGTATCTTTTTTATTATTTTTGTGTCTGTTAATTCAGGTCAAAAAATTGCAAGGAAACGTGGTAAAAATTGGGTGAATAAGTATTGACACTGGAAAGATTAGGAACGATATAGAATCAACATCTCGCCGTTATTGGAAACATTTGTATTCGAATTTGCGCGTCAAGGCTCCCTCAAGATTAATAGCAGTCATTAATTTTCAATCCTTTGCTGTAAAGGAGTTAGAAAGGAAGTCACATAACATTGAAGAAGTTGGATTTGCCAATGAAATTCATAAACGGATTCAACACTAATATGCTGGGATTGGTAACGAAATGAAAGCTGTTATTGGTTCTGCTAAAATATCGACAGTCTGTACGAGCGAAAAATTGGATAGTTCTTATTCGCGGATACGAATTAATTAATATTTTTTAAATTTAAGAATCAATAAAGTTTTGTTTATAATCGTTTTTTAATGTCGTAAGAGTTAATACGGCTAATATAGCTTGACAGAACGTTTGAAAAAGCACAAGGCAGTGGGTATTATCACGTTAATTGTAATGATAAACAAAATTTTTCTTTTTTTATCAGGAATGGTCGCAAGCAGCATGAAGAGAATCTTAGATGGTTTAGTTCAAGAAGTGCTTGGGGATGTTTCGACGAATTTAATAGTCTCGAAGAAAAAACATTAAGCGCCATAGTGTTAACAACCAGACCTCTTCAAGAAGCTATAAGAAACGGATTCAGTCAAGTTGTACCTGACGATCGAACAGTCAATCTCGATATAAACTTTGCTTATTTATCACAATGAATCCAGATGGTAATGAATATGATGGACATCATATATTTCCAGATGGCTCAACTAGCATTCAGACCAATTAGCATAGTTCATCCTGATAAATTTGATATCATCAAAGGAATTTTAGAATGCGCTGGCTTTTTGGAATCCTTTATATTTGTCAATGGTACAAGTTTTGTCGAAACCTATGAAATATCTCAAAAATTATATTCGAAAGAGTTTTACGATAGAGGCCTTAGAGCATTGCAATCGATAATCGATGCTATTTCATCGGCTAATCATCTCAACAAACCATATAGGTATTAAAATTAAAAAATTAATTATTATATATTAAATATTTCTAAATGTATAAAGATATTTTTTTAAATTAATCAGCCTATTGATCGCGATAGAAGATTCAACATTATTTAAATAAACTGAGAACGACGCCAAAAAATTTCTCTATTTGTAGGTTGAAGTCTTTCTAATACAAATGATTTGTTAACCAAGATAAAACGTTTGCGAGAAGTCTTCTTAGAACTTAGCAAGTTTGGAAATTACACCAAAAATATCGTAGATCAGTGTGTACAAATGAGCGGTCAATTAAAAAGTAGAACAACCGTTGTGATCGTTGACCCACTTCAAAGACTCACAGCAAAAAGATGACCATTAGATAACTATTAGCTGAGGCTTTGTTGAAAATTGGACAACCAGTAGATCAGTGTCTTGTTTATCCTGGTACAGTAACAAAATCAAGGCTTTTGGGACGCGTTAAGAAATAAAGTAATTTTCATCCTAATTAGTAATACAAAGACAAAAATAATATAATTAGGAATTATTATTAATTTTTTTTATTTTCCAAGAGAATGGAAAGAAGAATTATTATCGAGCACTGTAATAATAGCCGGTGAAATTTAAATTTGGATCATTTTTAATGGCGACATTGAACCAAAATAGCCAGAAGCCTTAAACTCTGATTTCGATGATAATAGATTGTTAACATCACTTAATGGCGTTGGTGTCATACTCGGAAATGGTACAAGGTCGAGTAATCCAAAATATATGTCTTTTATTATCAACACCATTAATATATTAATTGATTAAAAAAATATATATATACAGATTCATATACAAGACGCAAAAGTTAGCAAGTGCAAGTCCAATTATGGTTTCACAATTAGGACTCGTCCATCTTAGAACGATTAATCTGGATTCACTTCCGTTTGTCTTAAATATCGAAAATTTGTTTGTTAACGTTCGGGACAATATAAAGGCATACCTGTTTATCTGTGTGCGTGAAAAGACAAACAACTCAGTACGATCATCACATTCCGATTTGGTCAATTCGGTTTTGTGTGATTTACGTAAAGCTCATACACAGACGCTTGGTACAGAGGCACAAATTGAAGATCAAAACGTTAGGGATAATATGACCTGTTTGATTTACCACATGATGGATTGTATATGTCTAGATCCTGATAAGCCATTCGATGTTGTTTATAACGAAAAGCCTATCAAATCAATTAGAATCGTTCATTGACATATATCAATCCATTGAGACGAAGAATAGATTTATTTTACTTTCAGGTAATAATCTTGTAAATATTATGCGTATTATGAGACCCAATATTTAATTAATCTTTACCATGTATTTTTAGGCCCGTTAAAAGGACATTAGCATTTATTTTATCCTGGATAGAAAAAAGTTATTCTGTCATTTTACGAGACCAAGAGGACTCAGATAATAGTATCCTAATAGCTGCTGCATTATCATCTATATACAATTAGGATAATGTACCGTCGACTTTGATACAAGGATTATCTTTCCATAGTGCACAAGATGTTATTACTCGTTTAAAATGAGCTTGCGTTGGTTAGGATTCATTTTTTTATGAAAGAACCTATAAACCTAGAAATGTTTCACAAGTTATTTTAATCCTTAAAGATTACATTTAGCTTCCAAAAAGATGAAGGTAATTTTATGCGTTTTTTTAAACAAATAAAAATTTTCATCTACATTGATGGTAAACATTTTTCTTTTTGTAGGAATTGGTGAGAGAATTATGTCAAGACAAAGGATTTCGTAAAGATGATTTAGAATTCGCTCAAATTCCGTTAACGTTATTTTGTACTGCGGAATATATTACTGTTTTTCATCTGACATGAGAATGTCTCATGATTACGTATTATCTATCGTTGGTTATTTTGATGTTAAAGAACTAAATAAATAATAATTAGATTGTGTATACATGTTTTTGTATATTATTCAAGGTCTTCAAGTTCGAAAGAGATTGTTGCTATGTTGGAACTTCATCTAAGATATCCATTAAAACAAAAGGATAATTTAATGGAGACTTCGAAGGTGACATTGGCTATGTTCGAAGCTTACCAGTCAACGAACTTATCCAAAGAATTTTCTTCCTTGTGAACATCGAAGGATCTTATTTTGTGGGCTAATTGTCTTGGCTATTATTTACCTTTTGAAAACGAATATGTCAATTGTCATCTGTTAAAATCTGGCCGACGTTTATTCCATCTTAAGTAATTTTCATCAATCTTATCTTTTTTTATTAAATTTGTTTTTTTTTCATCAATCTTATCTTTTTTTATTAAATTTGTTTTTTTTTAAAGTAGAACATCGATTAAAAGAGATTATCCATTTGTTGTATTTCCATTCGGATTATTAGCTAAAACACGTCAATTGAGACTCCGTATTATCTGCTGAAGGGTAAAAGTAAAAAAACAATTAAATAATCAACACTTTTCATTTCTTTGATGAATGGTCGATCGGCATATCTCGTACATTTACACATACACACACACGACTAGCGAGCTCTAAACCTTCCATCCCACATATATGTACTATGTACTACCACACAAACGATAAGTTGTGCCTGCCGCCTTGCTTTGTAGCTCCTAATAATTTCTTTCTTTCTCTTTTCATTGTTTTCTATTTTTTTTATTATTTCTTAAACGAATTTTAAAAAAACGCATCCTTTTTGTTTTTTTTTCTCATTTTTAATAAACTCTCATAAAGTACTGTATCATTTTTATAATATAAATACATGTTTAAATTTTGTTATATTTTTCATATTAATCTTTTGACTACAGCAGATTTTGATACGCACCAACCGTACCATACGGTGGGAATTCGTTTGTAACCTACATTGAAAACGGTGACACTTTTTGTTCAATGTGCATTTTCAAGAAAGTATATTCAAATAAAACACTAAATTCCATTAAATTAAAATAAAAAAAATTATTTATTGCTTTGTATTTCGCATTGGATTGTTAATCTATATACTATAAATTTAACATTAACATTGAGCTTTTTCCACAATATATCTAATAATCTGGTAACGTGTGGTACAATTAGAAACATATTTCTACATCATATTTTATGCATTCGTAATGTGTCTCACTTCTTCTCTTACGTTTTCTACAGACTACACATTTGCGCTTTGCGTTTCTTCGAATTGCTGCATTTTTACGTATGGAGACAAAAAATGCCTTTGTGTCAAAAGAAATGACTCATTATCAGTACTTTCGATTTACTTTCATGTGTTCTACCCAAGCTGTATTTTTGTAAAATTTGTTTTATATAATATAAATGAAATTTACTAAAAGATTAGTTTCTACATAGCTATATAAAATAAAAGTATTATACACAGTTAAATCAAATACATGAAAAAAGAATTTCTTGTACCATTTTAATCTTTTTCTGGTAGAATTCAGACTATATAAAATCTAACCAAATTTGTCAACCGCTCCCAATGTATTATTGTAATCAATTATATATTGTGGTCTGATTATTTATCCTTTTGTTAGGTAAAGTATTTTGTTTGTTTCAATCATATTGGGACAATAATAGATGGAAATCGTTCACACTTCCCATTTGTCCATCTATTTCAACAGTAACATATTTTTTGTCGAACGAAATACACATTCTCTTTTGTTTATCTTTTTATTCAATTCCGGTATATTCTATCTGTTTCTTCTTCGTTCATATGCGTTGGTTAAGTTTTTATATAACTCGAAGCGTAAATTGGGTCTATTGTACCAATTATCGGTAACAAATTGTGTGACCTTTTCCAAGATATTGTTCAAGAAGTGTCATTATTGTCTGGCCAGACTTTTCTATGGATTTTAATAGTATATTTTCAAATATTTTACATATACACATTTAAATATATCCCGGAATTTACATTTAAATATTGAATATAGTCTGTCTTACTGTCAAACAAGACAAGGGATTTATTCCCAAACCTGTTTCTTTCTGACGGTATATATTGTTTGAAATAACATCTTTCTTTAAACAATACCAAATTTTCATCAATACATAACTTTTCATATGGATAATATACAGTTTTAAAGAATGTTTTTAATTGTTCAAGTATATAACGTATGATCATAATTAGATCGTGATTTTCAATGATATTATCACAAAAATGCAGGTTCGTTAATAATAATGTATATCGATTCCTTGACATTATTTCTCCAAACGATTCTATTATTATTTTATCCTTAGATCAATATTTTGATATAGATATCTTATGCATTTATGCCATTAGCATGGTAACGGTTAAAACATTAAACATTTCAAAAACAGTAGTTACATTAGAATTATGTACTATAGTTATATTAGAATTATGAATACGATCGTGATTGACTTCTCCTTTTAGACGAGCAATCCTCGTCTCCTCCTCTCCAGCTTCAAACATTAGCCTGCACGTCGTATCGCGGAAAGATTCTGATACAATAGTATAGTATTTTATCTATATTGGAGAAGATTGGCATATTTATCGCGGCACAAAGTTCTTCTAATTGCGAATGTTCTCTGCTAGATATTATTCCTGATACTATTCAGGCGTTGTCATCCGAATTTTCTTCTGATGTATCATCACTTTCAGCGTGATTAATCAAACCGCACATACTATACTTTAATTTTATTATACTTATAAAACTATTCATGCTTACTTGTATAGAATCCAAACATGGATTCTGTGAATTTTCACTTTGTGAGCTGAATAGACTTCCAATTTTATTTTCTGGAATTATTTCCTCTTCCGTCTTCCTTAAAGATGGATTGTCTCTATTTTTTCTTCCGCTTATTAGAAGATCCTTCTTAGCTGACATTTTTAAAACTCTCTCGCGTGACAAAAATTACGTTTAAGCTACTGACTGAGAAGCTTCGACTAATCATGAAGTAAGAAAGAATGTGGAAACAAATGCATTACGATCAGGTATGATATCATATATCTCATATCATCTATTAACAAGGATATTATACTACTAGTTAATGATTTATTAACCATATAAAGAAGACTAGGGTCATCATATATTTTGAATATTTATTAAAATAATATTTTTTTTTAAAAGAATTCATACTTGTTGGCAATTTTTACCTGTTCGAAGTTTTTTGACTAAACAATGTTACACATCGTAAAAAGTGGACGTTCAATATAAAAATGTTTCAGATAAAGGTTGTTTCAAAAAACTTTTCAATGTTCAGATATTGAGTTCAACTGTTCTATTTTATGAAGTAAGAAAATATAAAATTGTGATAAAAAAATATTTACCATAATCCAGAGGTCATGAGAAGGAAACTGTAAACTTATGAGTACGTCTTGTTAGAAAGAAAGTATCAACTATTATTTAATCGAATAAAATATGAGTATTAAATCGAAGAAAAGGGAAAAGCTGTTTAATATAGATAAAAATAGAAATAAAATGGTTAACGTTGAATGGCATTTCTTAAGGAAGAAAGTGAAATAAGAGTTTCTTCCTAACAAAGCTAAATACAAGCATATGACTGTTTACTACCATCTGTTCAAATTACTTGTGATTTTAATGATAGGTATGGACGATATGTGTATAACGAATCAAATGGCGAACGCTGTCCTTTATCGTAATTAATAGAAATAATTTTCGATCCATTTTAATGAACAAGATCTCATTTAAAAGAAGAAGGTTTAGTCTACAGCCCCCTTTTGGTGGAGTTTGGAAAAAACTTTTTATTTTTGCATAAATTATTCTTGAATAAATATCATTTTTTAATATTACTTTTTTTTTAAATAAAGCTTTTTCAAAAACCTGGCTGAAGGGCGCCGTAAATTAAACTTTCGTCCATAAACTGAGATGTTGTTCGTTGAAATCGGCCAAAAATTACGCCTATTCTCATACATGACGTAATCCATTAAAAAACCAAAAGTAATGAACAGCCTTAAATATCAAAATTTTGTATTCACAAAAGAAATAAACGAAATGTGCAAAATCCATATAAAGAACAAAAAAAATAGCGATTGTTATTTTATAACAATATGCCCAATTAGAAGAAAAATTGACTTATTATCCTAGAAGAAATAAGAATAGGTATAAAAAAATGAAATAGTAAAATATATTAAATTAAAAAAAAAATAATTAAATATTTATATCTGTCTGGCTTGCAAGGATCCGCCATCCCCTGGAAAGTTTGCTTTTTATCCTTCTCGCTTTCCATCTCTTTCTCTCATTTTCTTTCTCTCTCTCTCTCTCTCTCTCTCTCTCTCTCTCTCTCTCTTTCTCTCTCTCTCTCTCTTTCTCTCATCCTGCATGCTATCGAGCTCTCTCTCTCTTACTCACTCCCTCTTTCTTTCTCCTTTCCTTGTGTAAGGATCATCTTTCTTCTATCCGCGAAAATGTAGATATTCTGAAGATATGTTGATGTGACTTTTCATCTATGTTATCGTTCGAAACAATCCTTTCGATTGCATACTTTTACGATCTAGCAACTTCCCGAATTAATAATAAGTCGCAGAGAGATTTCTGATTTCTCGTAGAGTATCTTACTTGTATTATGTCCTTTGTCTCTTCTTTTTTGCTTTTTTTCTTATCTTCCTTTCTTTTTTCCTCTTTCCACGAGGAGACTTCACGGTGGAAAAGTGAGGGAAGAGTCGACGTAGGAGTGGTACGGAGATAGTGTTCATTTTATAGAGAGTAAATCGAGAACGGAAGAGTGATAATTTCGAGCAAATCGATGTGTGCCAGCATATCTTATGAAGGCATTGTCTTTGCAGTCAAAACGGAATAAGGGAGAGAAAAAGAGGGAGTGAGAGAGAGAGAGGGAAAGAGAGAGAGAGAGTGACGACGATGAGCTTTTTAGGTGGTTATGGCGGGAATAGGGATAACGTAAGTTCCATCGATGGAGTAAATGTACGCACAGATAGGTACATAACGTAACGTGACACAACAGGAGGAGATGATGTAACAAACTATTCGTATATAAGTGAACTGAAGGAGGGTATCCGTTGTCGTCAGGGTGCGCACATTCTATCCGAACTGCTGTTTGCCGATTTCGAATTTTGCGGCACCATTTCGCGGGAAATGTAACTAGAATAGATTGATGAAGTGTAACTATCCAATTTGGCGATCGTAGCACGACGTTATTTTTCTCTAACATCTTTCTTCTATATCCTTTCTTATCTTCGGTCTCTCTCTCTCTCTCTCTCTCGCACAGAGTCTGTTTCTCTCTATCTTTCTTATTATATATCTGTTTATTTATCTATCCATAAAGAATTAGTAGTAACATCTCGAAGAGATGACTATCGTGGAGGGTTGACGGAGAAGCTCGTTCAGCAACGAGAGTCGTAGAGGGCAAGGGGGCACGAAGTTGATGCCCGATCAGTTATTAAAGAAGTAGGTATTCACATATTTCGACTTGTAAAATCGACAGGAATACTCGTTAGTAGTGAATCATGTAAGAAGTGCTATTTAGTGGAGATGAGGTACGGACCGATTGAGACGGACGGAGAAGGAAAGACAAGATGGTAATGAGAGAAAAAGAGAAAGAAAGAGAGAAATGGTACGGTATTCTCCCCCGCTTTCAGTATCGACAATGTTATCTATTTTCTAATTCGAGAATTCTTAAAACTTAATTCTGTTTTTCTTTCTATTCTTATTTCATATTTTATCTATATTCTCTAAAGTAGTTATTGTCTTTTTTGGAATTTATTTGCAAAAAAAAAAAAAGAAAACAGGAAGGAAATAACTAAATAAATAAATAAATTTACGCTTATAAATGATAAATGATTACTCTTGTATCATAATTCATATCAAAATAATAATAAAAAAAAGAACGAAAGTAAAAAAATGAAACATATTTCATAAAAGTCATTTGCTTCTGCGAATCAATTTCTAGACAATTAATGTAACGATGAACAAATTTAATCAATTGAAACACCCTTTCTCGATCATTATCCTCTTCTTTAGTAATATCGAAAGATCTATTTTTGCGACCTCGAAGCATTTGGTCTTATATATATATATATATATATATATATATATATATATATATATATATAAGAGAGTTATATATATATATAAGAGAGTGTAACTCGAGTTATCGATAAACTCTCTCTTTCTATATATATATATATATTTAGAAAGATTTTCGATAAAAAAAAAATAAAAAAAACGTAAGACATTTTTAAATGTTGAAAAGATAATACTTGACGATTTAATAGAGAAATAAAATTGAGTAGAAGGGAAAAAATAAGAACAGTCAGGAAGTCAGGCAGGCAGGCAATTCT